GGCTATCTCCGTTATTAGTGAAGATAGAAGGGTGCGGTTTGCACAAACCTGTCCCACTTTTTCGTCAAACGGAAGATGCTGCAAACAAAATTTTCATAGCCCTCCTCGTTTCCGAGCTACAGGGTCTTTTTGAAAATTTTGCAATTTGGGACACCCCCTGTATCTCTGTTATTGTTAAAGGTATCGAGAAGGCGAAAACTGCTTATTGTAGAACTTTTTACGTAGAATACAGTGGCGTAGTCTGTTTTTCTACCAAAAAAATATTTTTGAAAATATGAACTAAAGTTATGTTTTTTCAAATGGAACACCCTGTATATTTATAAATCATATGATCTGTCTTGCTACGAGCTTCTCCAAAATATATATCACTCTATATTTATTTTCACTATTTACTGCAATATTTAAAATATATCATTTTCTTATTAGTAGGCCGTGATAAATAACAAAAAATCAAAATGGTATTTACTAAAATAGTCATACACATATTAAACTTTATTTGGGATTGATATATTTTACTTTTGAAATAACTGTTACCACTGAAACTGTGAATATATTTTTCTTTTTTTATAACGGGATGGGTTTGCAAATATCTAAATCTTGAATTATTAAAGCATTTTTCAGGTGTTCGACATGGTTGGAGTGCCCACGATATATTTCGTATTTCAGAAATCCCCAAAATCAGAAATCGAGAACGAAATCCGGGAATCGAGGAGGCTATCAATATGCGTTCATTGGTTCCAATTCATTGATTTGAAAAATAATAATTTAACAGTATTCTAATATTTCAATAGTTATGAGGGGGAATGTTCCACATCTTGCTGAAAGTATATTTCACGTAAATTAGCTAAAGGAATATCTAAAATTTCCGATACGATAGATTATTCTTACGTATACACGTATTCCAAGATTTACAAATAGCGGTAGAGAGTTAAGTTTCCCTAATATATAAAGAATTTATTAGCAGCTCCCAAAATAAAACAAGAGATAGATAGCCAGTATACTTTTAATAATTCTTTAGTTTCTTTTATTATCAATCATGGCCTACTAATAAATATGATCTTTTAATAAAAACTTTTAAATATTGCAGTAAATAATGAAAATAAATATAGAGTGATATATATTTTTTTAGAAGCTTATGGCAAGACAGATCATATGATTTATAAATATACAGGGTGTTCCATTTAAAAAAACATAACTTTATTTCATATTTTCAAAAATATTTTTTTGGTAGAAAAACAGACTACGCCACTGTATTCTACGTAAAAAGTTCTACAATAAACAGTTTTCACCTTCTCGATAGCTTTAACAATAACAGAGATACAGGAGGTGTCCCAAATTGCAAAATTTTCATAAAGACCCTGTAGCTCGGAAACGAAGAAGGCTATGAAAATTTTGTTTACGGCATCTTCCATTTGACAAAAAAGTGAGACAGGTTTGTGCAAACCGCACCCTTCTATCTTCACTAATAACGGAGATACCGTATGATTTCAACCAAAATGGGACACCCTGTACAACTTTGTTGCACTGTAAAACATCGGTACAAGAAGCCTGTGACATTATTCATTAGTACTGTTTAAATTATACAGGATGGCTTTTTTTGGTCTGAAGTTTTATCCTATAAAACTATTTTTTTATATAGGGTAAACCAAAGTCATAATACAGTTCCCCAATAAATTAACGCACGACAAAAAAATAACCAAAAGTTTAAGTTAAGTTTTTGTCAAAACCACTTATCCCATTTAAGCCGGAGTCTCATGCATCCGAAATCCGATGGTACGACATGCGAAATTTGAAGTTATCGTGTGAAATAAAAAAAGCCTGTCACATACATCCGAAAGTTCGTTCCGAAATTTGACAGTTTTGACATTTTTCTGCTGCGCTGAATAGAGATTCATGTCATGTTTTATTGGAGAAACACTTATAAAAATAACTTCCTCGCCAAATATCCCGAAATTGCCCACTTCCCACTAAACTTGTTTTTAAAAACAAATGTTTTCAAAAAAAGTGAGGTTAAAAAACACACGATATCGTACAAAAGTTAAACAAAATTTAACTTTATACGACGTCGGATGATTAGTTAAAATTATCGGATAAAAATTGTTGTCAAAATATTTCGACCAATAGGAGCACCGGCGGATCGTCGTGTCATCGGATTTCGGATGCATGAGACTCCGGCTTTAGACGATTTTTTTTTGAATGATAGGTTATTCTTTCCACAATGTTGCTATACTAACTGTATTTTGATAGGAACCCTTTTTATACTAATATCGGGTGTAGCAATTATAACGTGTTTTTTTAATAAAATTTGTGACACCCTGTAGAGTTGATCAGTTACAGTATCAATCTTATCTTTTTTTACATTTTGTTTTTTTATTTACTCCATTATCTTCCTTTTTTTTCTTTACTATTTTTCCATTTTATTCACTAAAGTAAGTAGCAGGCTATGGAAAAACACGGATTACCAGTAAATGTCAAATAGAGATGCTAGTTTCTGTGCAAACTTGTAGACCATTAGTATCTCTGAGCTGAGTTTGAACGGTCCGAGCTGTTACGAAACGTTGTCTTAATGTTGAGAGTTTTAAAAAACCTCCACAGGGTATCACAAATTTTATTAAAAAAACACGTTATAATTGCTACACCCGGTATTAGTATAAAAAGGGTTCCTATCAAAACACAGTTAGTATAGCAACACTGTGGAAAGAATAACCTATCATTCAAAAAAAAAATCGTCCAAATCGGATAAGTGGTTTTGCCAAAAACTTAACTTAAACTTTTGGTTATTTTTTTGTGGTGCGTTAATTTATTGGGGAAGTGTACTTTTCAAGTTTATTTCACCAAAAAAAACTACGTGTATATTATATACACTGTGTCAATTTTAAAACTTCCCACCCTTAATATCTTTCTTGAAGTTAAAAATATGATATATGGGACAAAAATATATGGGACACTTTAAATGAATATTTTTAGTCTTTTTCTTTCAACCCCCTAGGAGGGGCAGATGTCACCCTTACAATCTTAAATAGGAATGGGGGTCAATTGGCACATCGTTTTAAAGGGCGTTTAATTGTCTTTTAGTGGTATCCTATTTTGTTGCTTTTTGTCCAGAGGTTCCCGAATAATCGCGTTCCAAAGTTGCAGAGACAATTAAATATGCCTGCATTGAGATTTTGGTTTACAGGTTAGTGTTTACACAAAAATCATTTTAATGGGTCTCCTTGTAGTACAAATGATTAGAAGATTAGGTAGTAACATGGACGTTGGCATTACATTTTTCTATGGGGGGTCGAAATACTAATAAATAGAAAACATCATAACCATTAACGTTTCATTTCTCAAATTATTTCTTATTTTTCTCGAACCCTCATATTTTTCGAGAAGGACATACACAATATCCCCAAAAAGTTAATGTTCGGGCTGGTGTTTTTGGAAATGCTTGAATGAATTGGTCCTTTATTTATTGAAGGAAACTTGACAGGTGATCTGCATCTTAATATGCTTCAAGAGACTATTGATCCTTTTATCACCCAAGAGCCAGACACTCAAATTGATGCAGAGGGTAATCCAGTTTTACAGGAGGATTTGTTAACATTCCAGAAGGATGGTGCTCCACCTCATTTTCTTCCGGTCCCACAGTGGATAAACGAGAGATTTCCGGGTACATGAATTGGCCGAAGTGGACCAATTGAATGACCTCCAAGATCACTGTTTTAACACCCTTAGACTTCTTTCTTAAGGGACATCTTAAATCCAATGTTTATTAAACACAACCTACTGATATTGATGATTTTAAAAGGCGAATTACAGCAGAATGCCGGTCAATTCCCGGTGAAGTTTACCGAAATGTTTGGGAGGAATTTGAAAACAGACTCTATTATTGTTTACAGGAAAATGGACAACATTTTGAACAACTTATAAGATAGGGCGTACTATAAGTGCTGTAACCTAATATTCTAATCACATTTGTACTACAAGGAGATCCATTGCAATCATTTTTGTGTAAACACTAGTCTGAAAACCAAAATCTCAATGCAGACATATTTAATTGTTTCTGCAACTTTGAAACACAATTATTCGGAAACCTCTGGCAAAAAAGCAACAAAGTAGGATACTAATAAAAAGCGAATTAAACGCCCTTTAAAACGATGTGCCAATTGACCCCCATTCCCATTTAAGATTGTAAGGGTGACATCTGCTCCTCCTAGGGGGTTGAAAGAAAAAGGCTAAAACTATTCTTTTAAAGTTTACAAATAAAATTGACGTGTCTTTCCGATTTTTCATAATTTTAACTGCAAGAATGATATTAAGGGTGGGAAGTTTTAAAATTGACACAGTGTATACACTAGAAATAGTAGAAAAATACAAATATATTTGGGATAACTAATACACAGGTCGGGATCTCTACTAGCAGAAATCCACAGAAGAATTAAGTCAGCATGGAGTAGGTATTTATGGAAGAAACTCAATCATATTCAAACCTAGAATGCCACTTTATCTAAAGAAGAAAACGTTCGACCAATGTGTACTACCAGTGATGATCTATTCCTGGACACTTAAAACGGACGTCATAAGGAAACTGCAGGTCGCACAACGCTCAATGGAACGAAATATGCTGGGAATAACCAAGCCAAGAAAGACCGTAAAAGTATACAGTGGATACACGATAAAAGACCCAGGTAATTGATGTCATCCACAGAGTCAAATCCCTCAAGTGGCAATGGGCAGGATACCTGGTAAGAACGACGGATAACAGATGGACCAAAAGTTAGAGCATGGGATCCACGAGGCATTAAGAGATATAGAAGAAGTCCAAACCTTAGATGGAACCATAATATTAGGAAATTAGCAGGAATAACTTGGGCCCATATAGCTAACAATAGACAACAATGGGCCCAGTTACAAAGAGATAATATAAATATGTTAGGGAGGCTACACCATATTTTTGGAAATGGTTGAACAATGATATAAAATTAAGATATAGAAAATAAGAAAGAAATACTTACAGCAACACTGAAGCAAACAAACACACTGAAGACCAATAAACTTTCCAGTTTCATGATTGTCCGTAAATTATATAAAACTAAAGACCGAGCTTTCTACAAATATTATCACAAAAATACTTCGACTAGATTCGTTCCAGAGGATATATGTTCCCTGTTCGACAACTCCCGATAATCTGGCCTAAGCGTCTGCCGAGAGTTTGTTTATAATATTATTCGGTTTGTTTATAAAATTCGTGTATCATACGTCAGCAAGTATGGCGAATAGTTTCAGCAGGGCTGTGGGCTTTTAATGGCCAGGAAATTACTCTGTTTTACCTGTATTTTTCCCAGGGGCGTACGGTGAAGTTTTCAGTAGAAAAATCGATCTTTTTAGAAAAATATTTATTTGTAATGTATTTATTTGTATGTTTCTCATCCTGAGCTACAAAGACAACTTCTGGCAGCTACAGGTGTGAACGTTTCAGTTCAAACCATAAGAAAAAGGCTTCGTGATCAAGGGTTGTACAGGGTGAGTGAACGATAGAGTAAAGTCCATTATCTCATTTGCTTCGAGGTTTACAAAAAAATGTTAAATACAAAAGTTATAGGGAAGGTTAAGATACACATTTTAAAATTATTATAGAGTATACAGGGTCCTTCAAAAATGTGTGGCGGATATAACATATGTTTTTTTAAATGCAACACCCTATTTTTTATTTTATTTTTAGATTCTGCGTACAATTCTATAACTTTTTTATATATAATGTTATATACCTAAAATTAATAGTTTTTGTAATATTTAAATTTGTTTATACAAATGTTAAATTGCAATGTGGTAAAAAATTGTCAGTTGTACCATTGTTTCTAAAGTTGGAATACCAAAATTTGGTATAAGAGTTCTATAGAGATTAAAAAGAAGATATATGTTAAGATATTTTAGTTAAATGCTACAGGGTGTTCAAAATATATTTATGAATTTCAACTACTTAAAATTAAAAAATCTCAAATTTTTTAAATGGTACACCCTATAAATTTTCATTTTTTCTGATAGATTTTGAAAAGCTCTTCAACTTTTATTAAGTATGTCATATACCTATTTTTAATAGTTTGCGATTTATTCCATTTTTTTCTATTTTTACCCTAATTTTTAATACAATTACGCTATAACATCATAGTTACCGTAACAAAACAAACATATTTATTACTTATTTTTAATAAGTAGTTTAATAATTAGTTACAATTGTTATTATTAGTCAAAATTAACTAACTTTACTCAAATAAACTAAAATCGTAGTCGTGAATTTTTTGGTGTATTTCTATATTATGAAAGATGGCATTTCGATTTTCCGTCGGGCCGAATAGCCACAGATTATGGTAATGCTAGATTACCTAATTGTTAACGCCTACTGATATTGAAATTTTCTCCGACATACAGTAAAGTTTTTGTTCTCGTAGTAATTCTGGTTTATAATTCATTTCGTAAAGCCAATATTACTACTGCCACAAAACCGTCCCATTACACACTGAAAATATTATAATATAATATAATATGAAAATGTTTTCTAGATAATCTACATCTATTCTTGTAGTACTTAGCAAAGTACTATATAATATATAGTACTGAACCAAAAAATATGTTTATTTTGGCTTGTTCGTGTATATCAGTCACATTGACTAATCCATTTTCACGAAAATCTGAAACCATTACCTCTACCTCTAACATTTATACTTATTACAACAAATTAAACTAAAATTCACCTTTTGTTCTTAACTTGCTTAACAGACAAATGAAATTTTGATAATAATTATTATTTTTTGTCATGGTAACTATGATGTTACAGCGTAATTGTATTAAAGATATGGGTAAAAATAGAAAAAATTGGAATAAATCGCAAATTATTAAAAATCGATATATGACATACTTAATAAAAGTTGAAGAGCTTTGCAAAATCTATCAGAAAAAATCAAAATATATAGGGTGTACCATTTAAGAAATTTTAGATTTTTTAATTTTAAGTAGTTGAAATTTATAAATATATTTTGAACACCCTGTAGCATTTAACTAAAATATCTTAACATATATCTTCTTTTTAATCTCTATAGAACTCTCATACCAAATTTTGGTGTTCCAACTTCAGAAACAATGGTACCACTGACAATTTTTTACCACACTGCAATTTAATATTTGTATAAACAAATTTAAATATTACAAAAACTATTTATTTTAGGTATATAACATTATATATAAAAAAGTTATAGAATTTTACGCAGATTCTAAAAATGAAATAAAAAATAGGTTGTTGCCTTTAAAAAAACATATGTTATATCCGCCACACTTTTTTGAAGCACCCTGTATACTGTATAATAATTTTAAAATGTGTATCTTAATCTTCCCTATAACTTTTGTATTTAACATTTTTTTGTAAACCTCGAAACAAATGAGATAATGGACTTTACTTTATCGTTGACTAAGGAAGTTCCGGGTCCCACAGTTATCTCGCCAAAATAAAATTGACCGGCTAAATGGGTGCCTTCAACATCAAAACTGGACGATTGAGAATTGGCAAAGTATTCTTTTTTTGGGTGAGACCAGAATTGGCTTAAGATCAGATCACCATCGAATTCGGGTTCTCAGAGCTCCAGGAAGACGAGCGAGGCTCCAGGCTGCCAAATCTGTACCAAAATATAAAGGAGGAATTGTAATATTCTGGGGAGGTATTATGCTGGGAGCAGCTCGGAGGTATGTTGATTTAGTGCTAGAACCAATCGTTAGACTTTAGAGAGCTGTATTTGGGATAATTTTAACTTTATACACGATAATCCACCTCCCCATACCAGCAGAATGGCTAGAGAATGTTTTGAAACGTAAGGTGTCATAGTTTTGGACTGGCCTGCATGTTCACCAGATCTAAACTCTATCGAACACTGTTGTCTCAGATACTGGCTTTTGTCCAAGCTCTGAGACTGTATAATGAGTTATAACTCATTATAACTCAAGAAAGGGGAACACACAATAGATCTGTAACCCCTCTCCTAAACATTCTACATTGTACATCCTTCTAGAAGATGATTTTTTGTATTTTTTTGGAGAATCACTGTTTCCCTTGCTTCCATGTACGCCCCTGGCATTTCTCTAATTCGGTAAAATGAATCATTATTTACTCAAGAGAAAAAAAACTGAGGAAACGGCGCTTCCTCCTCAAATCGATTCGCTCGATGAATGAAAACTATGTCTACGTCATCGTTGTGACGTTTGGGGACGCACGAGTGTGCTTTGGTGATTCGCTTAATGCAAATACAGTGATATTTTTATTTTATTAACTGAAAATAAACTAATTTTGTGGTTATTTATGATGGCGGAGTGATCTGGTTAGGCTTAAACTAATAGATAATGATGTATAAATGAATACCGATGTTTCATGCTGATATCTGTATGATTTCATCATATTTTGATATTCGATGTTAATATTAATATACTCCTTTATTAAGTAATATAATTTGTCATATATTAATATCTGAAATAAAATGTTATATAAGATATTACGATAGCATTTCTAGCGACAATTATGAGAACAAAAGAATTATTTTTAATCATGTTATTCATGTTTGTTTACATATTTAAATAGGTTTTTGTTTTATTACGTTTGGTAATTAATATGGCACAATGACAAAAATTTGGATATAAACCGTTGACGTTCTCTTAAAATGAAACGTTAACCATTCGCTATTAAACTATTAACTGCTACAGAAGCCTGAGGGAGAGAGAGAGAGTAATACATTTATTTATATTAGTTTTTTATAGCCTATCGGTTCTTTCATTCTAATTTTTGCATTGTTAAGATCTACTCTGTGCTCTGTGTCCCATGAATGCAGACAAACTTTAGATTTGCGAAAATCGCTCTTTTTAAACACTACTTTTAATTATTTTATGTGGTTTGTATCAAAAAACAGAATTCTTGACAACAAATAATAGTAGTGATTACTGTTTATTTATAGTTTATTAACACTTAAGAGTCCATTTCACTAGTCCGAAAAAGTAGCAAAATAAGCGTTTTATGTAAAACTGGCTAGGTATTTTTGCACAAATGAAGAAGGAAATTAAAAATAAAGGATTATACTCTAATCTAATCATTTTATTGATTTTATGGAAAGTACTGTTCATTAAAATGTTGTATCCTATGTTATAGGGCTTGTTTCTCTTTACAATTTCCTGTTTCACAATGTACCGTTTGTGTCCGGGAAGGGTTCATAGTTTCATAGTTGTCGATTTTCGAAAGAAATCAGTATCTACATGTATATTATTTCATATATTTTTTATTTTATTGATTTTATGCAAAGCACTGTTCATTAAAATGTTGTATCCTATGTTATAGGGATTATTTCTCTCTTCAATTTCCTGTTTCACAATGTACCGTTTGTGTCCGGAAAGGGTTCATAGTTTCACAGTTGTCGATGTTCGAAAGAAATCAGTACATGTATATTATTTCGTATATTTTTCATTTTATTGATTTTATGGAAAGTACTGTTCATCAAAATATTGTATCCTATATTATAGGGCTTGTTTCTCTCTTCAATTTCCTGTCTCACAATGTACCGTTTGTGTCCGCGAAGGGTTCATAGTTTCATAGTTGTCGATTTTCGAAAGAAATCAGTATCTACATGTATATTATTTCGTATATTTTTTATTTTATTGATTTTATGGAAAGCACTGTTCATTAAAATGTTGTATCCTATGTTATAGGGATTATTTCTCTCTTCAATTTCCTGTTTCACAATGTACCGTTTGTGTCCGGGAAGGGTTCATAGTTTCACAGTTGTCGATGTTCGAAAGAAATCAGTACATGTATATTATTTCGTATATTTTTCATTTTATTGATTTTATGGAAAGCACTGTTCATCAAAATGTTGTATCCTATATATAGGGCTTGTTTCTCTCTGCAATTTCCTGTTTCACAATGTACCGTTTGTGTCCGGGAAGGGTTCATAGTTTCATAGTTGTCGATTTTTGAAAGAAATCAGTATCTACATGTATATTATTTCGTATATTTTTTATTTTATTGATTTTATGCAAAGCACTGTTCATTAAAATGTTGTATCCTATGTTATAGGGATTATTTCTCTCTTCAATTTCCTGTTTCACAATGTACCGTTTGTGTCCGGAAAGGGTTCATAGTTTCACAGTTGTCGATGTTCGAAAGAAATCAGTACATGTATATTATTTCGTATATTTTTCATTTAATTGATTTTATGGAAAGCACTGTTCATGAAAATATTGTATCCTATATTATAGGGCTTGTTTCTCTCTTCAATTTCCTGTCTCACAATGTACCGTTTGTGTCCGCGAAGGGTTCATAGTTTCATAGTTGTCGATTTTCGAAAGAAATCAGTATCTACATGTATATTATTTCGTATATTTTTTATTTTATTGATTTTATGGAAAGCACTGTTCATTAAAATGTTGTATCCTATGTTATAGGGATTATTTCTCTCTTCAATTTCCTGTTTCACAATATACCGTTTGTGTCCGGGAAGGGTTCATAGTTTCACAGTTGTCGATGTTCGAAAGAAATCAGTACATGTATATTATTTCGTATATTTTTCATTTTATTGATTTTATGGAAAGCACTGTTCATCAAAATATTGTATCCTATATTATAGGGCTTGTTTCTCTCTTCAATTTCCTGTCTCACAATGTACCGTTTGTGTCCGCGAAGGGTTCATAGTTTCATAGCTGTCGATTTTCGAAAGAAATCAGTACATGTATATTATTTCGTATCTTTTTCATTTTATTGATTTTATGGAAAGCACTGTTCATTAAAATGTTGTATCCTATGTTATAGGGCTTGTTTCTTTCTTCAATTTCCTGTCTCACAATGTACCGTTTGTGTCGGGGAAGGGATCACAGTTTCATAGTTGTCGATTTTCGAAAGAAATCAGTACATGTATATTATTTCGTATCTTTTTCATTTTATTGATTTTATGGAAAGCACTGTTCATTAAAATGTTGTATCCTATGTTATAGGGCTTGTTTCTCTCTTCAATTTCCTGTCTCACAATGTACCGTTTGTGTCGGGGAAGGTATCACAGTTTCATAGTTGTCGATTTTCGAAAGAAATCAGTACATGTATAATATTTCGTATATTTTTCATTTTATTGATTTTATGGAAAGCACTGTTCATTAAAATGTTGTATCCTATGTTATAGGGTTTGTTTCTCTATACCTACTATATCCGTATTGTAGCACATTTTTAGACAACTTTTTTATTTTTAAGATTTTGATGGTCAAACATCAACAAAATATTCCTTATGTTTGGACCAAATTTTCTCGAAAATAAAGACATAATTTAAAATTCCGTTACAATACGAAAATAGATTGAAGTTTTGTGATTACAGTGATAAATAATTTATATAGTTTTATAAAAAAAACTGCTCGCCTTTTTATGGCAAATGCTGAAGCTCTGCAAATCTTAATCAAGCCTTAATCAAAGCGCGTGTGTTTGGAATTTTGGATGGGGCTTAACACGGCAGGATCAGGCTAAACCTTAGACAGATTTCTGAAGTATAATATATATTTCTTTCGGCGACACACCCGCTTTACCCGACTCCTGAGAGCGACATGAACAATATAGCGTAATAGAGTCTTAAAGCTTAATCTTTACTTGTATACGGTGATGATTGGAGAGTAAGTTATCTTTCATTCTAATTAGGTACTTTATCGGTCTCAAATTGCCTTTACATAACACGAGGAACTACACCGAAATCATCTATCATCGGCCACCCAATCAGCCAAATTCGACTTCCTGGGCTAGAAAGTGTCACTCATTTCTTCGATAAAAAGTGAAATTCGATAATAAATACCCCCAATAATGGGGCGTGGTGGTACCGACGATAACTCCAATCATTAGCTTAATGTGTATACATGTGTGTATATATAAATATAAAAGTAGGTCGTTCTTAGTGCGCGACCACCATTTCTTCGGGCGGCAGTGAGAGTGAAAGAGTGAAAAAGAAGAAGAAGTACCTTCGACGTCGATATTGTTGGTACTAAAACATTTTTCGCGAAGAGAGAGTCATCGATGAGCAAGCGGTTGGCGGTTCGTTTTTGCCGAAGAAAGTGGTCGAAAGTAATAACAAAAAATAAAGGGATCGTCGCGAGTGAGTCCGCGTTTCGTGAGTGTGAGTTTCGAGTGATAGGGACACCATGAAGGTATGTATTTTGGTCAAAGATACTGAAAAAATAAAAAAGTTATAGGGGTGAGCCACTTTTGAAACGCACCTTGTATAACGAAACTTTAAAAAATCAACTAGATCAAAATTACCTAAGTGCATAATAGAACTTTAATCTAACATTTTTTATTTGTTTTTTGATAAAAAAAATATCGTATTTTTTTATTCGGCTCCTGTTATTGACATTCAATAATTTAAACCGTTTCCGTTACCCACGTAGACGAAAAAGTAGATCACTCTGTGGGGGTGTGTAGGTTTGAACTACCAATTATATACCTTCGTTTGACGTTTGATCGAAACTATGCAATAGCCATTTTGACAGTCGGTTTATAATATTTTTCTTCGCACTGTAATTATACAGAAGCGAAGAAAAATATAAGTATTTTTGATGCATAATATATTTCAATTATAGCAGTTGAATAGTGTTGATTCATTCGAGTTTTGAACTGGAATGTTGAACATATTTCTGATAAATTAAGTTTACGTTTAAATAACGCCCGAGGAATGTGTTTCTTCAACAGGAAGAAAATGATATGTTACCGAATGAGTAATACTAATGAAATAATAACAGCAAAACTATGCCAACAGTTCACTCATTCATTACATATTAGTTATCTAATTATTTTTTTATGTATTATTTATAACGAACTTTTTATAAGAGCTTTGAATAAAAGGATTAGAGTCTATTACGCTGTACTTTTCGGGTCGCTCTCAGGGACAGGGTTCGGAAGTAGTTAATTAAGACGTAATTTACCTGATTAACTACATGTAGTTTTTTTTTTCAAAAACTACGTCTTTTCTCGTTCATTAACTACATGAAAACTACGTTAATAAACTATGTACTGATATTATGAATAATTTTCATTTGTATGAGGTGTAATAGAGATAATATGATGTAAATATTATATTTTTAAAGCCATATTTCTTCTGTTTGCTTAAATACATTATGTGTTTTTAAAGCTTCAACTTATTATAACCTCACACCTCAAACCTTTGATATTTGAACGTTACATACATAGGTTACATAAACTACACCCTCTACATAAACTACATTAACTACATGTAATGTAGTTTATGTAGTTTTTAAAAGTAACATGTAGTTTTCCGAACCCTGATCAGGGATCGGGTAAAGCGGGTGTAGGTATGTCCGAAAGAAATATATATTATATTTTAGAAATCTGCCTAAGGCTTAGCCCGATCCTGTCATGTTAAGCTATACCCATAATTCCAAACACACGTGCTTTGATTAAGGCTTGATTAAGGTTTGCAGAGCTTCGGCGTTTGCCATAAAATAGCGATCAATTTGTTACAAACCCATATAAATTATATACCAATGTAATCACAAAACTTCAATCTATCTCCGTATTGTAACGAAATTTTAAATTATGTCTTTATTTTCGAGAAAATTTAGTCCAAACATAAGGAATATTTTGTTGACGTTTCACCATCAAAACATTAAAAATAAAGAAGTTGTCTAAATATATGCTACAATGCGGATATAGTATAATCCTTTATCTTTAATTTCCTTCTTCATTTGTGTAAAAATACCTAGCCAGTTTTACATAAAACGTTAAATGCCGAACGCTTATTCTGCTAATTTTTCGGGCTAGTAAAATTGACTCTTAAGGAAGGATCATATCAAACAAACATAGGAAGATAATATTATCATAAAATTATTAAATATATTTGAAAAAAAATAAGCAGAATATTAATAATTAATTCATCTCTTGGGATAACAGTCGATATTTCAAAGTGGACGATAAAATTTCAGGCCGTTTGATATGTTAAATATTCTCTTAGATGTCAAGCTTTTCAGAATTGTTTGTATTTCTCTTCAGGAAAGGCTATATAGCTACATAAAAACTAAATTTTTAATTCAAAGAAGTTATTAAAAAAACATGATTTTTAAGAAATATAAAAAGCAGCTTTTAGCATTAAAAGGATTATCAAGAATATTAAGTCTATAAAGCTTCGTCTATACATAAGGTTTTACCTGCCAGTCTTTCCGGTTCAGGCAAAACGATTTTAAAAATTTTGACAGCAGCGCTCGTTATGGCAGTAAAAAATTAAATAGGCATATACCTATGAGGATAAAGTATAATTTAATCAATATTAATAGTATACTCCTTTTTAATCAACTAGTGCTTAATCTTTTTATGAATTTTTTCTAAAATTTTAATATTTTGTACTTTTAAAAATTTCGTTATAGACCAAATAGCCACAGTTATGTCCCACTAGCAAAACCGGTGCGTAAAACTATGCTCGGTATCGTAGTTGAACTTATCTAGAAGGTTTTCTTATCTATCAGTTAAAACATCATATTATGTAGACTGAGCTTTACATGTTAATACATAAAACACAAGATCATGCAATAAAAATCATTTTTCTTTCACTTTAAGAACAAGTAACAGTTTGTTTCGTGTTTATAATCCATCTATAATAAATAATAATAAATAACGCTTTATTGTGCAAAAAGCCAAAATAGCTTCATCGACAAAGCATTTATAAAACAAACAAAAGCACAAAAAATATACAATACAAATCATACAATTAAAAAAAAATTAAGTCATTAAAATTACAAATAGAACATACACGGACAATTGCACAACACAAAAAAAGCAGTAGTGTAGGGCTCTCTCCAGTAAGTATGATTTCAGAGCTTTGCGAAATGTGGGAAAGAATGAAAGTGACTTGATATTCGAAGGCAAATGATTGTACATTTTCTTGGCATTGTACAGTATTGAGCCCTTGACTAGTTCAGAGCTCGGGGTTGGCAGATAAAGATCGTGCTCCGCATTCCTAAGTGGATAGTTGTGAGACGGCCTTTCGGGACTAGCAGATATGTGCTTGCGGATAAGCAAACGGATTCAAAAATAAATAAAAAAGGAAGAGTCAGTATTTTGAAATTTTTAAAGAAATTCTGGCAGTGAGTTCTACTGTTCAGTCCCAATAAATATCGAACTGCTCCATCTATATAACAATTAATATTTTAAGAGAACATATTATTAGTCACATTGAAATTCCACAAGAAATAAATTTCATACTCCAAATAATCCATTAAGATGCAAATTTATTTCGTGACAATTTTGCAACGCTTATTGCAAAATTGCTGTGTACCGAAAGAGGTTAAAAAACAATAAGAACTTTGGCAAAGTCAATGGCTAGGTCAAAATTACATCGAGGTCGTACGCGCATTTAGTTACACGTATACGTCATCTTGTTCACTTTCATTCCTTTTTGAGAGAAGAAATCTTCGTCTTATTATTTGCTCAGGAACTTTCGTTGGTATTTATATAGGATTTATGATGTTACTTAAACTTTTAGTACATATATAAAATCTATCCATCAAGTTTTCATACTAGAAATGACGTTATTATTTGACTGTATAAAGCTTAAAGTAAATATATATCACAATATAATAAATCAATCATTATCATCTTGTCCAGGCTGTTTAACGTCAGTTTCCTGGATTTTTGTCGTATCCACTCTATTCTTTTATGGTCTCTCTTCGCTTTCCAGCACATTTCGTACTATCGTGCGTTTTATTTATGCACAGATGTAATTTATATTTGCATTTTTATTTTTAGTCGACCTTACTAACAGGTATGGTAGGCTATTAAGATCGACAAAAAAACGTTTTTTAATTTCACTGAAAATGAGTTATTTCGGTCATAAATGACCTAAATACAAAATATTTGTATGGTGTCTGTCTGTCTGTCCGTCTATCCGTTTGTCCGTCTGTAACACGATAACTCAAAAACCGCTAAACCGATTTTAACCAAATTTGGCACAAAAATACTGTGGCACCCGAGAATCTGGCCATTAGTTTTTGGTGGGGGTGGAGGGTTAGTAAGGGGGTATGGGAGGGGGTTAAAAATTTTAAAAAATCGTAACTCCAAAATTACAGTAGCTAGCGAAACGTGGTTTTCAATTTAAGATTAGGAATAATATTTTTTACAACAAAATTTTTTGCAACAAAATTTGTAATAACATCAAAATCAGTCAAAGTCGCAGTTTTTTTATTCCGTGTTTCCGTAGTCCGTTTTTTGGACGTTTGGACGTGACAGCTTCACATTTATGAGAGCAAAGACGATTAAACTTGTTTCCATGGCTAACTAAGTGAAATTGTTTAAAAATGATAAGAATTGGCTATAACTCAGTAATTTTTTGAAGAAAACATATTATAGCTTATATCGATGAAAAGCTTAAAAAACGGCGCTTTTTATGAAGCCAGGGCCAACTATGGTTTCCATTTAAAAAAACCTATGTTTATGTCATATGTCAAAAATGACAGGCTTTAGAAAAAAGCGGAGGACACAGTCTCATTAAGAATGTGATTATCTACAACTTTTATCTGAAAACTTTTTGTCTAAAATAACTTATAACGGAATTAGGGACAATTTTTAAAATAGCCGAAATTTGTTTTTTTCAAAATATCTAGTAAGCCATGAACTTTTTCAAAAATCTGAAAGGCGCATATTTATGACCCCACAAAACTGCAATTCTTTCCCCATTTAACCGACCCTCTATCTCCAGTAGTTTCCGAGATACCCATAGAGAACATCGTAGGAAACTCACCCTGTATATAAAAAACTTTCAGACAACTAGCAGTAACGAACTGAAAAGTAGCACAAAGAGCCATGGAAAGAATCATGTTGGGAGTCACCATTAGGGAAAAAATACGGAATACCCACATACGTCAAAAAACAAAATTAATAAATGTCGTTAAAAGAGTGGCAAGTCTGAAGTGGCAATGGATAGGACATGTGGCAAGACAGGATCCAGACCGATGGCCCCAAAAAGCAAACCTATGGAGACCTAGGGGTACAACAAGAAGTGTGGGCCGACCAAAAAAGAGATGGGTCGATGACGTCAGGGCAGTGGCGGGAAGACAATGGATAAGATTGGCTAGAGATCGCGAAGCATGGAAAAACTTAGAAGAGGCCTATATCCAACACTGGATGGAGCCAGGCTGAGAAA